AATTTAAGATCTATAACCGGAGGTAGTAACGATAGTAGTAATCAGTTATGATGTAAGAAAGTGTCAAAATTCTTGAATAACGGAAAGTTTCCGACTATCAAAAATTTGCGCCGGAATTTTTCTTAATTTACCGGAATCTCCGGTATTTTATAGTAGATTTTGTGCTATGGTTCTATAGTACGTATAAAATAATTTTAGTAATTCTACACCGTGGAATTGTAGATCGTTTCGCTTTTAGAATTGACATCAAACTTAATTAGCTTAGTAACTTAGCATTTAAAAGAATAAACTCAATTACGAAATGCCGGCATATAATGCCTTATCAATTACAAATATAAATACGTAAGCTAATTAAAAAGTTTAACGCAGTTGATTTCTACGTATAATTATTTAATGATCTTCAATTCTTACCTTGTGTTAACAAATGTTGTATTTTTAGATTTTTGTGTGAAACGGTTATATATTGTACAGTCAGGCCTCTAAATGCAGAAATGCAACTCGTGAGAATCATAACATGCGGGTCAGAACCATATTTGGCCAAATGTTGAGGTTGCGTTTAGGGGTCAGAACCATATTTGGCCAAAGGTTGAGATTGCGTTTAGGAGATATCATTATATAAAAAATATATAAAAGAAAGGTTTCTTGGAATTAATGTAAAAATCAATTTTTAAAAATCCCATTACACAACCAATTTTTAAAAATTCCATTACACAACCAATTTTTAAAAATTCCACTACATAATCAATTTTAAAAATTTCATACAATCAATTTTAAAAATTTCATACACGACCAAATTTTATTCTACACTATGAACACAACCAGAGGTAGACGGAGTGGACGACAGGTGAGTTTTGTTATGCGAATTCACTTAGCATTGCCTGCCGAGTGGGCGGCCGGTGCAAGTTACGCTGCGGGAGTGAGCCTGTACGTGGCCTTTTTCCCTACCAGGAATCGCCCGTGTAGATCGGTTTGCGGGGTTTAGCGCGAGTAGGATCGAAAGTGGCGAGACTCCAAACACGATGATGGCACGATGTGCTAATACACTTTTTTTTTATTTCGTTTCAGAATGTTAATCCGCAGCTTCGTTTCAAAAATGAGATTCGAAACTTAGTAGAGAACTATTACTTCAATACAAGTACAGTTACTAATGACCGTGACAAAGACCTCATGCTAAGCGAACGAGTATACTATGTGTACTTCCTTCTAACGTGTAAATGGTGTCGGGTCAGAAGAGTCCGGTATAACGACGTTGAACGAACTTCCGCCGTCAGTAGAATGTACGATGTCCCAGGTGTAATCGTATCAAATATCGGGTTTACAAGCAAAGCTGTCAGGGTTGCCAGGGAACTTGGCGTTATTCTTGCCGTGCCAGATCAACTTTTGGCAAAGCTTAGGTTCTACGTTTCTAAAATTGTAAATCAAATTGATACTGAAATCCTCTCAGAAATAATGGATGAAGAGGGTCAAGGAATGGATGAAGAAGGTCAAGGATGAAATGTAAAAACGTGAGGGTAAATCATAAATAATAAAATATGTTCTTTGTTAAGAGGTACTATGAAAGCATCAAATAGTACAAAATAAATGATGAAATATTTACAATGCTATATTTTTGATTTTTTTTTTTGTATCTTTTGATTTTCTTTTATTGATTTTCTTTTACTGTGTCAACGTATTTATATTTCTGATTACCGCGTATCATATTTGTAAGATTTTTAAGATACTTTTAGTTCCCAACCTAGTGATATGAATCGAAAATCGATTAATCGTTCAGTTGACCCAGCTATTAATCGATTAAACCAAATCAATTAACCAACTAATCGATTAATCGATTGTATAGTTAGCAATAATCGTTTTTTAAAAAAATTTTCAATTAATTAATCGATTACTTTTTTTTTTTTTTTTTGCTTTGATTACGACCATCATGCAGTTCATGCTTTCCATAGTTTCGGCGGATTTCAGTTTCATAAATAGAAACATCACGGCTCAGCGATGTCATACCACGAAATTGTACCAGAAATAGGTATGTAAAAGGGAATGTTAAGAACAAGATGAGAATATTGAACAGTACCAATCCATTTTGAATACAAAAAATAATGATATTGTGAAATTAAATTTATGATTGTATAGTTGAACCATTCAAGCTGATGCGTCTATTAATCTCTTGAGAGATGAGTATATCAGGGCGGCCCCCCAAAGTACGGGTCGATCATCGGCCCAGACTTTGGAGGGCCACCCTAATTTACTTGATAAGCTGCAGGAGTGA